CTTTCCCTAGACTTTAGAAAATAGGGCTATTTTTTGCAATCTGGGAACAATCCCAGAAGGAATGCTAGGCTAAGGATGCCGGAAGGCCTGATACGTGCTCACTGGTGACACGTGTTTGTATGACAGGGATCTAGTTCTCCACTTGCTACCTTCAGCCTCCTCATCCACCTTTCTTGTGCTGAGCCTGCAGCATAGAAAGCCTCTAATGACTCAGACATTGCCCCCTGAAGCCCTTCTTAGAGGTACCTACATGAGAATAAGTGTCTAAAACTCACATCCCAAAATTAGCCTCACATCTTTCTAACAGAGCAATAGAGCTTTCTAATGGAAATTGGTGCTGGGAGGAGAAAAAGCAATCTCGAAAATAATGCAGGGATCATGAAAGGGATTTGGTTATTCATACAATGTATCTGGACAGACAGAGTTTCAAGGCAATTTGGGTGTCTCATTTGGCAGGTGTCTGTGGTTTCTAAATGTGGGCTGTCAGCAAAGTTTGAGAGGTCTCAAGCTGAGTAACTTGAGCTTAAGAATGACAAAATAGTTCTAAGCTTTTGATACCAAATGCCAAAGCACTGAGGCAGGTGCCAAAGGTATTTGATGGGACTTCTAGGATGGAGGCAGGATGTGATTTCATAAGGACACTGGCATGAATTCTTTACTGAACATGAATAATTAATAAGATTTTTACCATTTATTGTGTTTTAGCTAAAAACTAAAGGTTTTATGTCTTCCTAAACCATTAGCTAATGCAATTGGAGCTCATGCTTGCAAACCTCATGGCCAAGCTTTCTCAGAGACTATGCCAATTTTACACAATATGCAGGAAATTACAGACTATGTAAAACCATTGCAGTTTGGGTTTATTTCCCCCACAGAGAATATACTGCATCCACACAAAATAGCACTCTTTGGTGTGTTAGTCTGGACATTGAAGAAAACACACCTGGAATGAACAAATGTTTGAAATATCCTAGTCTGATGTAACTGACTGACAGGTAATTTTTCTCAAAACCAAAAGCAACCTCTAGTACACCTCGGCACAGTCAATGCACCATATGATTGAAAAGATGGAGAAGTTCAATGACTGTACATTTCAGGGACTCTGTTTCAGGTGGTAGAAGATAATTATTTAAGTGAAAAAGACATGTTCAATATTTCAATAGGCAGGCTTCTCTCATCTTCCATGGATAAAGGGATAAAACTTCTTTTGGTCATATTCTAGTTCCTACTTGTTTGCCTCTGCACAACCATATTGGTGTCCTGGGGGGCAACCCAATGCCATCTTCTCCATCAGGTCTCCTCCAGAATGGCATCAACAGTGCTCTGGACATTGGGGTTCAGAATCCTTTTATGTATGTATCTTCATTCTGCAATATGAAAATGGAATTGTGTGCAAGGTCTTCTGCGCTTAAGGGGTTAATTTTGGCTTTGTTTCCT